GCAGCCAGTTTCTCCAGGAGAATGCTGTGGGAAACAGTGTCAAAGGCTTTACTAAAGTCTAGGCAGACCACATCCACAGCCTTTCCCTCATCCACTAAGCAGGTCACCTGGTCATAGAAGGAGATCAGGTTAGTCAAGCAGGACCTGCCTTTCATGAACCCGTGCTGGCTGGGCCTGATCACCTGGTTGTCTTGTATGTGCTGCATGATGGCACTCAAGATGATCTGCTCCATAACCTTCCCTGGCACCGAGGTCAGGCTGACAGGCCTGTAGTTCCCCAGATCCTCCTTCCATCCCTTCTTGTAGATGGGCGTCACATTTGCTAACTTCCAGTCAACTGGAAAGAATGGCTCTTCATTCATTTGGCATGACTTGTTCACCTCTAATCTTATTCCATGAGAAGGTTGCTCACATTGGTGGGTTAAATTTTGCTGATGAGATTGAGTGACTATAAACAACACTCATACAAGCACACCTTTCTCTTGCTCACATATTGAACTGCCATGACATTACTGGTGAATAAACCTAAGCAGAGCCCAAACCCTCTGTCTCTACTTTCTTGTGTGGTGTTTACATTTATTGTTCCTCATTATTAAAATAATGATTGGTACTTAGTAGTTTAAAAAGCCAGCTTATAATTCTGCTGTTAAGAATGGTGTCACGGACCACTAGACAAGATAGAAAGGGGGACAGGGTGTATTCATGTATTCTTATTTTGTCTATTTGAATAATTGGTGGAAAGATCCTCTCAAAACATCAGTATCCATGTTCAGCTGTAGAGGATTACAGAAAGGGCAGCTCCACGACCTCTCACCACAATAGGGTACAGGGTAGGTTTGCTGAGAAGTATGAATTGTGCTGGTTATGTATCAGGTATAAGTTGTTTGAGATTCATATATAAAGACTTGGACATCTCTCGCATAAATTTTCTGCATGTGGTCTGGTCTTTCTTTCTTTAGTCAATGGAAAGAAACGGGCACTTCTCGAGTGCAATTTGGCCTGTTTGAGACAGCTACATTAGGATGAGATGATTCATGACATAGAAATACTTCTTTTCTCTTAGCAGAAGGTGAGTCTAGATGACTGGAACGGATCCAGACATCTGCATTGTCACTGTCTAAATACAGACAAATAAAACCCATCCATTACATATGTCCTGAAGTAAAAAAAAAGAACTGGAATTTGAGGTGTACCGGCTCTAAGCATACTTGAGCTAGTACCAGTAGAAATACAAGTTAAAGAGTGATAAAAGAATCTTGACGATGGGCAAACAACATGAGTAAGTCTATGTCCAGAGCTGCTGTTTTCTTTACTGGTGGTGTCTGAACTAGCTACGTTACCAGCAGTGTACGATGTCTATATGTGCTCCAGTCGTACTTTTAGATGCAGTTGTTATCGGCATTTTCTCTCTCCCACAATCATCCCCAAGTCATATCGTCTCCCCACATCACTAGCATAGCGCCACACAGCACTTGTTCAGGACAGATTAACTTACTGTCCAGCTCTCAACTATACTTCAATGTTCCTGCTGTTCATTTTATAGAGAAGCCAGATGGACGAAGTCCATCAGCTTACTTCTTCCATGACCCTGCAAACACAGGAGTGTTTTCTATAATACTAGTTTTTCCTAGCAGTTTGCCTAGTTTAAATCTTAAACTCGCTGAGCAGTAGAGATTCCCCTTTTTCCTACGAGACGTTGTAACACATTATGGTGCATCTCATGAAGACATGCTTTCTGATACTCAGCCTCTGAAATATCCTAGAGCTTCATTCCTGAGTCAGGCTGTGACTCTGTGGCTGTATCAAGACTATGCGCGGTTAGGAGTCAGAAGGAAATATCCTTTCTGATATTTACCCTGTTTGCTTGTCTTGAAATGCACATTAATCTGACTTTGAATTGTTTAACTTAAAATGGGTAGAATACTTGTATAGAAACTTTCTTCTCTTTATTTCTCCTTTGCAGATGATCATTCCAGGATATGTCTGAAAGCTGAAAATAGCCACGACAATTCAGACTACATCAATGCTAGCCCAATTGTAAGTATGGTAATCTATGAGAAATAATCCAAATAGTCAGTCCCTGTCTTTCCTTGTTGTTAAAATATGCTTACTTAAGGCACCTCACTGCTCAGGTTGTGCAGCCTCAGGTTGTGAGCACCTCACAACGCTGATGTCCCAGGCTGTCCTTTCAAATTGAAGAGAAAGAAATCATCTACATGTGCATGCAATACCCTTGAAGTTTATGTACTAAGAAAAAGAAGTCATTAGATAGTTGTCGATCTACCTTGTAATACTGTCAGGTTTTCTGTACTTGATATTATTAACTTACAGATTATACATTCAATTATACACCCTTAGTGGAGCTTTTCCTTCTCTGAGGAGGTAAAACTTGCTTGTTCTTTTTTGCTTTGTCTTACTAGCTACTGTTGTAGGAGGAGTGGTTTCTGTAGTTGTGGAGAGCTGAGCTCCACAGGCTTCTGAACTTCTGCAGCAGGAAGTGACGTTCCCTCTTACCTCTTTTCATCTGCCCTACAGAGGAATAGCTTTGTGTTTCTCTAGCTCTCCCAGTTCTTCTCTGAGCTTGCTGTTTTGAAAGCAAGAACGAGATTCCTTACCTATTCAAACTACAAAATAGGTCAATCCAATTTTTGCCTCCAAATACTCCAGCGTGGCCCAGCTGCCTTTTCTCACCCTACATAAGCTGAATATGAGTCCTTTCTTGTCTGTGAAAGGTGATAGAGAGAAAAGGTCTCTATTTTTAGACACAAAACAGGTATGATAGAGCCAGTAGCATCGCCCTGTCATAGCATCTCAATGGGAGTGTCGTGATATCCATTTGAAGGGGGAAAAAGGCACTGTGTCCTTGATCTCCGTGAGACTGCTAGTATTGGAGTCACTTTTGCTCATGGTTCTTATTCACATTAATTAGGCACTAAAAGTTATTATAGGGAAACTATGAGAAAGAACCTAGGATGGAGAATTAGATCTCACTGCAGTGGGCTGTGTATGCCATTACTGGCTCATTTTCCTGGGGAGTATCACTCCCCCAGTTAAATCACTTTGTGTGGGCAAGGCAGCTGACAATTTGCAACAGCATGAAATTACAGGCTGCTTCCTCCCAGTGTTGTTGACAATACTTTTTTTCCTTTAAAAAAAACCACAACTACATAGAAACTGTTCTCTGAGCTTTGTTTTTGTTACTTTCATCAGAGTTCAAAAGTTTCATTTCCTTGAACATACAAAAATGTTTTATTCAAAGAGTTAAAAGATACACAGAACCTAACAAACATCTTCAGGATGCTTTTGCCTTTGGCTTACGGTAGAGGGTAAACCAAAGCACCTGCATGCTTCAGGGATTGCCAGCTGCCATTTTAGAGAACAGAGGTAGATGCGCACAGATTAGAGCAGTTTTTGGACTACTTTTAAGTATGTCTCTGACTAGACCAAGCTCTAGCTGGCCCCAGGATCAGGAGATAGGAGTAACTTGGCACTCCCAAGGAATATGTATCCTGCTTGTAAAGTCATGCACAGAGGTCCAGCTCCAGGGCTTCAGTGCTCCGTTTGCCTGTCTTTAGGGCAGATTCAGTGATTTATGCTTGGTCAAGCCTTAATTTGATAGTAGAAGCTGAGAGGTTTTGTGGCAAGCACAGGAGTGGGAGGTGTTAACTGGAAGTGAGATACTGTATTCTTGTAAGAGCTTGGTTGTAATTCGCGTGACTACAACATGGTGCAGACATGGAATTACAGCATCTGTAGACAGTGCTAAGCCAGGTTCAGTGTTGGCAGCAGTGCGGGTGCTGTGTTTGTACCAAATAACCAAGATGGCCTTCTGCAACCTGCCCAAAAGTCTCTGTAGACACACCTTAACTGGTTTTAGTACCCAAATTTGGTTGGGGGAGGGATAAATTTTTGCATGTGTGTGTATGCCTGTTGCAATTGTAATGCTGGTAATTAAATACACTGATGAGAAAAGTTTTAGATTAAGTAGCGTTGGGGGTGGAGAGGCAGGACCAAGGTATCCCATTGGCATAACTCGGAAGAGGTTTGCTTTGTCAGGATGCCTGAAACTAATGCAGGCAGAGGGTCTCTGCTTCCACAGCTTTAACTCTCATGGTTTTACAGGGGGTTGTAATCTTGCTTTTCCATCTGGCACTTAAGGGTGTTTTCTTCTGGAAAATTAGAAGGTATTTCTTTTTTGTAGCTTTCCCAGACTCAACAGTTTTGTCCAATAAAACAAATCACACTGATGAAGCAAAATTCTTATGGTTGTCTCTATATCTCTTACGGAAATATTTCTATGCCCAGAGATAAGTGGGTGCACAAGTGTTTCATTAAGCTGGGACAAGCACCCAGTGTCTTGCATAGCCATGGAAAACTGCCAAGAGAAACTCTTGAGTTCCTCTTCTTCCTGGTTGGATAGGGACCCTACTGTGTGGGAAGGAGTGCCACAGCCCACATTTGTGTAGACGACCTTTTATTCCAAGGAAAGAGATGCTCCAGATGGTTTTGTGAGTTTGTTTCACTAAGTCAATAGCCATTTTGCTATTTTGAAAGCAATAGATAAAATGTGTGTTTCCTGAAGGTGATGCAGTGGGAGGTTGGTAGGAGGAAATCACTACTTTGCAAGCCCATAGTTTGGAAAGATTCCCTGCAAACTGTTTCATTTCAAGACAAATTAAATATCTTCAGGTTAGCGTAAATGTATTTGTTAATCTGGTATTGCTTTTGTATAATGAGGTAGAATATAGGAGTGACCGAGACTTTCAGTCCTGCTTCCCACCTCAGAAGCCTACTGGAATATTATATTGGGCACTTGATTCTGCAGTATTTACTGTGGCTGTGCAGCCACTGCATCCTGAGCTGGACATACATGCTATTACTATTGCTGTTTATTTGAGACATTTAATCAACGTCTTTGTAAGTGTACGGTGGATGTGGAGTACCAGTAAGTCTGCCTTTATTCGCTCTTGCAAAAATCCTACCATTTCTTTCCTTCAGACTGCTGCCTTTCGACTTAAATAACTTCAGTAATTATCATGTCAATACAGTGATGTTTCTGGTGCATTTGCGCCTTGCAGCGCTTGGGCTAGGAGTAAGCACTGTAGTGAGCTGCAAGATGGGCGTTAACAGCACAGGATCAGTATGGTCTGAGCTGACTGGAGGAGGGGTTTTTCTCCCTGCGTGTGTGAGCTGTCTGGTGAGGGAATAGTGTAAAATAAAATCATTATATTTGAGCTTCGGAAAGCGAGGCTTCCAGTCATGTACATGTCACTGGGTATCTCCCGCTTCTGGGTCAGTGGTCCAGTCTCCAGCTGGGGCTCACTCAACCTTAACTTAAGTCTAAATGAGTGCAGCAGCACATCATAAAAAAATCCCCGTGCTAGACAATGAGCTGGCCACCTGCCCACATGTTTCTTCCTTCTAAAAAATGCTACCCCCCCTCAAGACCTCCTTTCCTTCCAATATATTGTAAAAACTGGGGTTAGATTGATGGCCTCACCATGGCTGAGAGTGGGTGAGGAGAATCAGCAGAGATTTAGTCCAAGTTCTTCCTGTAGGTATTTAATTTCACTGTAGCGTGAGGCCAGGGAAAATGAGTCCTTAGGAGAAATTTGCAGGGTAAAAGTGAGGTAGAAATCTGTTTCCCTCCTCTCTGAAATAACATAAAGTACTATGATAATAACTCTGCTATCGGCAGCTGAATGAAAGGCTTGCAATTACAGCACAAGGAGACCCTGACTGTGCAGAATAAAACTGTGATAATTACATCTGTCATATTTGTACTTAGTCCTCATTAAATTTCGGGAAAATCATCCAGTAGTAAATAATGTGCAATCTTTGCTTTTAAATCAGAGGTCATGAAAGTAAATGGGAATTCTGTTTTTCCTCATAGGGTGTCTGAGAGAGAAAAAATCCCATCAACTACATTTAAAAACTCAGTTTGCTTATTATTGAAGACACCAGACTGAGGAACGTCATTAGCATGACAGTTTGTTCAAACACAGCATACAAATTTCATCACCAAGAATAGACTCTGAAATTCATAATGGCATTCACAACCAGATTTACATCTTTTATTCCATTAGGGGTTTTAAAGGAAGAATTTAAAAATTGTTTTAAATTTTAATTCAAACATGAAGATGAGGACTAGTCTACCTTTTTAATTTTAATGCTGAGATGAATGTGATCACAAAGTTCATCTGCATTTGCTGAATGTGCTTTCTTTTACAAAAACAAATATACTTTTTTACTTTTAGAGACTGTCTATACTCTGTGTAATAAATACATGCATGAAAGTAGATTTTATTGCTATTATAAACACATTAAATCTGGAAACTACACAGTAGCTTGAATCCATACAAATTTTTAAGGTGTTAATCAGAGTTCAACTTTCTTTCTGTCATATTTGGTCTATGCTGGATCTCATTCTGATCTCGTATGATTTAGGAATATTTCAGCTGGACTCAGAGGATTTAGATCGGTGTGACTGAGACCACATCTCACACAGCATCTTTCTGTGTGGAAAGTGGAAAGTAAGGATCTGTCAAGCTCAGAGGGAAGGTAAAGGGCAGGAATGAATCAGTGTATCATTTACATGAGATTTCAAAATGGTCATTGATGCCTATTGACACTTTTACTTCAGTTTACAGTTTTAGAAGACTACTTAACAGGAATCTATATGTACCACTCTCAAGTCCAAATACAATAAATTTGAGGATTTACTCCCAGAATGTATTGATTTTGCTGTATTTCATCTGCATTATCAGTGAAATCCTGCAGCAGCACGATCTCTATCTAAAAACTCAACAAAATTCAGAGTTCTTCAGGGAATCCTTGCAAAGTCCTAGGATAAGGCAACTGGATAGCAGAACTCTTGCAGGAAAAACTGAAGGAGTAGCTTTTATTCTCTAGTAAAGCAAAGGTGGAATTGTGGTCTGATATTAATTTAGCAAAGATGCAACTAAATGTGATACTGTGTTCTTTATATATTTTCCTACTTTAAGATACTGTAAGTCAACTTTCATTACAAAGCCCGGTAGAAAAACACAAGTTGTGCCACTCACCTATCTAATATATAGGGACTTTTTCATTCAGTTCTCTATAGTATTTCTTTTCCAACAAGAAATCTGAATGCTTCTCCTTTTTGTTTCCGTTTGCTTTTGACATTGGTAGTGACGGAAATCACCACATGGTGATTATAACTGCATGGTCAGTTATAGTAATCCTTGATCCCTTTCTTTCCCTAATACAAAATCATGGAAAAATAGATTGAAACATTGTCACCACCTTGCCTTGTTGTATTGCAGCAGAAAATGAGAATTCCACCATAGCAGAACATTTGTAATAATAGCAGCTTTTTCTTCCCAAAAATGGCTGTTCGATCCAGTTCTGATGTCTTGTGAACTTTGTGCTTTGATGGGGACATAGAGGGAAAAATCTTGTTCTTTTTGAACAATTACTATTAGGGTGGTTTCTGAAGGTTGTTCCAATGTAAAATGTTAGCAAACAGTCGATTTTTGTTTTAATACTTGATAGTATTGAGCCTGCTGTTCTCTATTCTTCTCTGGAGAATACAGTCTCTGTTTTATTTTCGTGAAGTGAGAAATCTGAGGGATTCTTGAAAGAAGATAATGACTACTGACATAAAAAAAAAGCCTTTTACTTGATCCTTGATTAGTTAGTTTAAAACCCATTACTGACTTTATTTCTTTATTCAAACTTTTGTTAACTTTGATAGAGTAAGATGCCCTTGGTGTTCTTGGTGACCTTGAGAGAATAAAAAAGAACAACAAAAACATTCAAGAACCATCCCTTGCAGTCACCTGCTCACGTTAAATCGAATGTGACCAGAGTAGTGATTTTTCACACTTTTCTTGAAATATGTGGCCTTTAAAACAGTACATAAAATAGAAAATTGATGAAACCAGGAATTTCATTTAATTAGTTTAATCTTTGCTTTTATTTTTGTTCAGTTAAAGATCATTTAATGGTGTGATAGGGCTTTCTGCCATCTTCTATTTGCTCCAAGCAAGAAGAGTTTGTGTTCATAATTGTTTTCTGTGCAACACAATGTGCTTGGAATGTAATAATTGTAATTGTCTCTTGAATTATTGTTAAACTGCTGATACACTTCACTACTCTGTGCTTATTGTAATGTTTGCCACGTTCCAACAGAACCTTTGTGACAGAGGTTGATTAATGCTGAAATGCCAAGATTGGCCTATTCCTGATTTATCAGCTGAACGTTGAGAAGTATTTCCTCCATGACAGCGCTATTTGCATCATCCTTGATTTCTTCTGCCTTTGTTTTCTGGCCTGTCTACATACAAAAGAATTTAGTTCAAGAAGAAATTCAAAGTAAATTATTATTTTTCTAAAGTTTGGTGTATTCACTGTCGGTTACATTTCCAAGTCAGGCTCTCACCTGCTAGACAAGTGACATCATTTTCAAGTGGATGCAGCCTACAACAGTTTCCACTGGGAGTAGCAAGTCCTCCGTGGTGCAGGTTGATTTTTCTAACCTAAGATTTTTAGTTCCAGCATAGGAAAACATTTAAGCACATGATTAAATCCTATAGATCTCTGTGGGATTCAAAACAAAACAACAACAGAAATTATTTCAACCATAATGGAGCAAAAATGATCTTTAAGCCCGACTTTGCTTAATCGCATTTGCTGTTGTTTTCAGCTGTGTTTAGTTCAGTGTCTCAATTCTTACAAAAACAAAAAAAGTTGCCCATTTTGAAATGGTTCCTAAGGTTTTTTTGCTAATACTGCTTTCTGAAGAAATCTAGTTTTTCCCTGATCTCAAAATACCCACAGTAGTAAATATCCTGCTATCAGAATTGCTTTTGTAAAAAGGCAAAGAAAGCAAGGTTGAAATTTGTTGTGAGCAATTGCTTGTTGTGAAGAGTTATTTGCTGATAAAAGCATCTCAATGAAGCTCAGAATAAAATGATGGTATTATAGACATCCTGGTCAAGGTTTTTTATAACTATGGGTGGTGAATCAGAAGTAAGCTTTTATTCTAAATGGATTCAGTGACTTCATTCTACCTGTGTTGTGTTGTCATGGAGAATTTTAATATTAAGTCCGACTTAATTATACATCAGAAAATTAGAAACATAAAAGTGTTCTCTTCCTTTTTGCAACATTCATCATATTGTTGTTCTGTTAGAATAACTTACATCTGTTCTTTTATGGTTCTTCCCTCTTTTATGTTGCACATAATTATGAGGTGCCTTCTTTTACGCTGGCATGTACCATCACTGAAAATTTTGATAGGCGATGAATAAATTCAGTAGATGCCTCCTAATGCAAATGTGACTCACATTCATTCTTATTCAGATCTTTACTTATGGAACAGAATCGTATATTGCGACAAATTCTGCCTTCAGCTACATGGGTATAAGTTAACTCCCGCCGACACTGAGTGTGACACTGAGTCACACCCACACATCTGAGAGCTGAACTGGGTCTCTTTTCTTTATGTTCAAAGTTTTGTCTTGCCCAGTTCAGGGTTAGAATTAGTTTGTTTTTTAATCCCATCAGCAGATCTTCTTTTTCAGCAGAATGGGTCCTAAGATTTAGAACCAAGAAAACCACCCATCAGTTCGAAAACATTCATTGTAACACACTAATCCTATTTACTCTTGATGGCTTTGTTTCTTAGATTCTTTATTTTTTCTGCTCAGTGAATTTTCTGCTCCTTGAATTAAATGTAATAATGAAGGTCTTTAAGCAGAACTTCCTCTATTGAGGCCAAATCCATGCATTTAGATAAATCAGCTAACCAGAAAAAGCCAGAAACTGAATTTGTTCCCCATTTTTCCTGGTTTTTAGTTACATGTGCCCTTGACTGGCATGGTGGAAATGGAGAACATATTTAGATGTGTGGAGCATTCTTAACACTCAGTGTAGAAAAATGTTTCAAATGGCTCCTAGGTTGCTATGAAACCACGAGTACTCATCTCAAATCAATGCCTTTGTCAACCACCATAAATGATCTTATGCTGCATTTTGAGGACATAGGACATTGCTCATCATGTGTGCTGAAATTCATCTGGTAACATCAGTCTTTTGTGGAAAAAGGTCTCCTCTGAGCTTATAAATAGAAATAAAATTCTTTGCTTGCCAATAAAGGATGGCGGGACATGACAGTCCTTTAGGAAGTCCCTTGTTTCTGCCCTCGCATACTTTCTGTCTCTAAAACAGCAAGAGATTTTCTTCTAAATAAAACCAGTCTGTGTTCTCTCTCCTTATTCCAGATGGACCATGACCCCCGAAACCCAGCATATATTGCCACCCAGGGCCCTCTCCCTGCTACTGTCGCTGACTTCTGGCAGGTAAGTTAAACATCTCTTTGTAAACTGAATTTTTGTTACAAGTCAAATGTTTTCCTGTGCTTCTAGAAATGTAAGGTGTAAAAAAATCTGTTGTGCTTGAGTCACAATAGGTGGAAAAACCTTAGTTCAAATGTGTTTTTAAAATCTAGTACATGGATATTGTACATTGGATATAGTACATTGGAACAGGCTGCCCAGGGAAGTGGTTGAGTCCCCATCCCTGGAGGTATTTAAAAGACGAGTAGATGAGGCGCTTAGGGACATGGTTTAGTGGGTGGTGGTGTTGGGTCAACGGTTGGACTCGATGATCTTAGAGGTCTTTTCCAACCTCAATGATTCTATGATTCTATGATATTAAAGACATTGATGTATATGACAAGCCCTACTAAGAAATAGTTGATCTGGAAATTATATTGAAAACCTCAGGCCAAAGTATTCATATTTTAGTGCCAAACTTCAGGCCAGGTCTCGTAATTAAACTGCTGCCAAGGACTGGATGATTTTCAGAAGGCCTGACCTTCTGAAGAGTGTAGCCAGAATTCATTGTCATTCTCCAGATCAAAAAGGACCTAACACTATGTGCCGTGAATTTTTCCATTGAAACCTACTTCTCACATGCCCCAGTTCCCTAAAATGCTTAAATTCTTATGCATTTTCCCTACCACAGGTAGCTGAGTTAAAGGCTGAGTTAAGACCCTGCTGCATAAAGTTAAGTAGGTGCATAATTTTTTGCAGGATTGGGGCTAAAGGCAGTAGTTACTAATGCACAAATATGAGCTTACTTTGCATGCGGTTTTTTTACGTGCTCATGCAGCTGTCGGATTTGGACATACATACACTGCCAGGCTAGGTGTGTGCGATTGTGTGACGGATACACTATATTAGGTATTCCTTTGTAAGTGTAAAAGTGTGCCTGAAAGCTTACGGAAGCTGTTTGGGGAGGAGGTCAACTGGGGCTTACTATCAACACAGACATATGTTTTTATTTTTTGTTTTGCATTATGAATTTAGAAACTTTTGTTCTGAAGATAAAGAATATCTACATAAAAATTTCAGAAGTGCCATTGTATTTTAGGAGCTTGCATCAGTTGAAATCATCTTCTCTCTTCATCTGCATCGTTTGGTCTATTATTAGAAAGTGTTAACTGATCCCTATTAAAGACAGATTTCATGTAACAATTTCCTACTGTCTCTGATGAGGAAACGAGACATTTTCAAAAAGTTTGTTTGATTTTGGGTGCCTGGATATTTAAATGCTCAGTCTGAGATATTTTGGGCCTGGTTTTTAGAAGTCCAGAGCAAATTCTTTCTGCTTGAAGTCAGTTGAGCTGCTGTTCTGGCTTAAATTTTCAAGTAACTTGTGTTTTTTGTCTTCAGTATCTTTTTTCCTTTGGTGAGTGGATTCCTTATATCAGGCATGATACTTGAAAATGCGTTTCTTAAATTAAACATACAAAATCAAATACCATGTTAGCTATTCTGTAATGATATTTTATGATTCCTAAGGCCCAGGTTTTTTAATTGTATATTTTTGCATATTTGTATATTTATATTTTGTATATTTTTACCTGTAACTGCACCTTTACATGTTGAAAAAATGTATGTTCTCATTTTTAAAGGAAGTATTTAAAGAACAAACTTTGTATAAGTACTGGTGCTGACACAGAAATCAGAATTAATCATACCAACATAGTATGAACGATGTATTTTGTTCTTCTTCCTTTCTAATTTGAACAGTTAGGCAACAGAGTGACACAGAGTGACTAGAACTGAAATGTTACTTCTTTGTTCTGTGATCCAATCTTCTTCATTCCAACTTTGTACTCAAAAGGTCTCTTTCTTGACTTTCTTTCCTCATACTATTTGTGAGTGGAGAGTCTTCACTTTCCTTCTGCTCTTTTTAGCTATTTCTCCTCCCAGTTATCCATCAGTGAAAGTTCACTCCATCTTCCCACCAGATTTGCTGTATACATCTCCACGGAAACCATTTGGCAACTGTGGTTCAGCTTTTGCTCAAGTGTGGCTATGTGTCCATTTTTGATGTGATATTCTTTTATTGTTTCTTCTATTAGGTTCCATAGAAAAGTTTGTTTCTTACATTTATTTTGATGATGTCTGTCACTTGAACATAACAATCTACCTATGTCAGATTGGTCCATCACCCACTTTTCTTAAATTTAAACTTCCCACAGATCACATGTCAATGTGCCGGTTCCTGTCCCAAGCTTTTTGACGACCCAGGGTATCAACCAGGTGTAATAAACAAGCCAGGAGAGATTAACTCCTTGCAGAACACTGCGTCCATAACTGCTGAAATGTAGTAGGTCCATTGTACAAGTCAAAAGCCTTGAAGTTTTTGCGGTTTATGTCCAGATGCAGGAACAAAGTTTACATCCATTTTTCACCTAATAGTACCTATTTTAAGTTAAAGCAGGGAAACCTGAACTTGCTATGGAAAATAGAGTATTAACTCCAGTTAGAGCAGAATCCTTTGATGTTTACTTGAATACACTTTTCTGTAGTTTATACAGACAGTGGTGCTGCCACCAGGGATTGTTTAAAGATTCAGTTATTCATTCCTGATACATCTTCTCAGTGGTTCTCCTCCCTCTCCCTCCTCCACTTAATACCAGCTGTTGCTGAGCTGTGTTGCTTTTTTTCCCCTTTTGTGTGCTCAGTGAAGCAGTTTTCTGACTGATAGTGATAAGAGTGACTGATTCTAGGGAGACTGGGCCTATTCTGCTGTTCCTTGTCTAAATGCACTATGTCATGCTTTAGCAAGTCCGACAGAAACTCTTGGAGCTTGGCATCACCTTCTATGGCGATACTTACTAGATGTATTGCTTCCTACTTTTGCAGAGACGTAGCTGCTAAGATTCCCAAGAGCCTGGTTGCATGGTGGGCATCAGCCACTCCATTTTATCTTGGCTGAAAGGCTACCCCAGCAAGAAACTGTTATAATTGTTTCCACTCCTGTAGGCATTTCAAGCTGATTTCTAGGAAACACTTGTCTACAAAGTGTTTGTTTTACAAGACAACTTTCTTGGCATTTACAGCACAGCTGATATCTGTAATGAAATCCTGATTTGTCCTGACTGTCTAGATTTCATGCTCAAATTCCAGAGAGGCAGTGTCTAAACCTAGTTTCCCTTAAACTTGCATTAGATTCTTCCACCCATCAGTGACCATGTCTGCATTAGCAAGCAGCGTGGCCCACTAGGAACAGATTTGTAGAGTGTCACGGTACTTACTTTGTAGGTTTTACTTTAGACCAACAGTTCAGTGGTCCAATGGACCAAATGCCTGTGGCGGGGAAGAAGGCTACAGATGCACCTGGAGGAAGCTTCTTCCAAAAAGAACCCAGTTTCTGAGCTCTGACACTGCTCTGCAGTGTCTGCTGCTCTTCATGCCTGTCATCTACATGATCATGTGGTCCCATCCATTATCTCTATTTAAGACCAAACAGATGATTTAGTTTTGGATAATCTCTTTTCCTAGTTTTATTGGCAGGTCCCTCTAAAACCTGTTGTGTTGATCCAGTGCCCAGTATTTTTGTGCAGGTGCTATTAGACACTCAGCAAATTCCCATTTACTGTTTTCAAGTTGCCCAGATCTGAACAAAGATCATGGTCAGCTCAGTGCCTTCTCTGTCCCAAACTAGGCAAAGCTTTTTCATAAAACATTGATGATGCTTTGTCCCAGCTCATCTTGTTTAGCATTCTTACTACTGGTGAGCAGATCCATGCCTAGGACCACTCTGGGACTGGATGGGGACCAGTTTCAATCATCTCACTTGCACTTCTTGGAAGATTATGTCCTTTTTGGTAAGGTGAGGAAGAAGGGCAGGTATTGTTCTTCAGTACCATCTAACTTGGGCTACTAGAGCTGGCCATTAGACTCAGCATTTTCTGTACACCTTCCTATTCATTTGGGTTTTCATATTGACCTGAGAGAGATTAGTTTGATGGAAGTTTTTCTTTCAAATACGCAGTTTTTGAGCTGGAGATAGTCCAAACTCCTGTATATTGGTCATTTTCAAATGGTGTTCAAACAAATTTTGTATATGTTGTAAAAATAATAATGGTAAAAAAGGCAAGAGTCTTAACTCTGGCTTTTCTAATGGTGTAAGGTCACTTCCAGGCATCAGCCTTCTGCAGTTGTCTCTGTCCCTCCAGTTTATTTCTCCAGCTCCTTATATTCTTGGCATAGCTCCTCTAAGTCAGCAAGTGCCAAGTTAGTTCCAACTTTCCTGGCTTACCTATTTCTTTGAAAACTTTCTAGCCTGCAGGAGCTGTGTTGTCAGTCGTCTCATTGATCTGTTTTGCCACAGGGCTTCCTAATCTGTCTGGATACTCTGTGTTTGTGGCTCAAGCAGAGATTTCAACTCTGCCTGCATGTCATCTCTTAGACCACCCTGGAAATTTTCCAGCTACTACTTTAATTAATTTGAAAAGCCTCCAGCTGATTTAAGTCTTCTTTTAATTTCATCTGGTCTTGTTTTCATCTCTTTTTACCAATTACTATTTCTGAGAGATACCTCCTTCATGGATTCTATTTTGGTTCAGTGGGAATTCCACCTCACGATTCCCTTTCTTGAAAACTGGATGCCTCCCCTCACATGGTATTAATCCATTTTTACCTGAGTGGTTAAACAATTTGCCAGGTCTGTGGGTTGTGTTCTTCTCAGCTGGAAGGACAATTCATCCTCAGGATAGGGCTTTGCTTTGATACAGTTCCATTTTATTTACAAAGAAAGTGCAGAGTTTTATTTCCTTGAACAAAGGCAGAATCAAATAACAGGCAATAACTTCTTTTTTCCAAACCTCATGCACCCAGTGTTTTACCCCCAACCTCTCTTTCAGCTTTTCTTCTACCAGGATCACAATGCTAGTTTGTCGAGCTGTGCTGGTGGTTTCTTTATTCCTTTTACATATTTTTGCTGCTTATCTGGATTAATCATCTTGCCTTGATTAATGCGTCTCTCTGCATTAAGCATATCA